AGATGCTGATCTGAAGTAACTCTAGGAAACACTCTAGACACCAAACTTTCTCGATGATCTTCCCATCCTATATGTTGAAGACAATCCTATTCAGTTATGAACACAATGAGTTTTCCTAAAAGTTGGACCAAGTGAACCTAGACTGCAAAAGAGGAATCTCCTTCAATTCACACATGTCTATGAATTCATTAAATTTCCTCATACTAGTGGTGATTGAATGATAGGGAATAGAAGTTTCATTGGAGAACCTTATCACGTTGAAGTCCTAGCCCAAACACCAAGCACCCTCCCACAAACACCAAATTGCATACAGTTCCCACATTTCATTCCTCTCTCTATAATTATTTGGTCCATATACGTTAGTGAACACCCAAGTCAATCCATCCTCCACATTCTTAAACTTTACCCAATACAGAATATTTGCCAATTAGCTCCCCATTGATTCCAAGACTTCGTCCTTCCACAAAGTCACTATACCCCTTGAAGCCCCCCAAGGCGGTGCCTCAATCCATCTTACACCCCTTGATCTCCACAAACTCCTAATCCACCTTCTATCCAATTCTACTAGTTTAGTCTCTTGCAACAACACGACATTAGGATTCTCTCTTTTTAATAAATCCTTTATTACCCTCATTTTCCATGCACTCCCTAGTCCTTTTACATTCGAACTGATTATTCTCATTCTTTCACCTTTGAGCTAAAACTCTCTTCCTTTTCTCACTACCCTACTTGGGTTGTTTCCTTCTACCTCCCCACCCACTAAATTCAATATCACCCTCCACATCAGAGATTAACCTCTCAACTTCTGACTTTTCCTTCTTCCTCTTTTTCCTTTTTTCTTCACCCTTCCTAGAGTACATTTTCACCTTCTGATTCCCATCCACCTTGTGAGCCTTCTGACATTGTATGTCCTCTCTTGCAGCTGTGTTAGCCTTATCTTTCTCCTTTCCCTTCTTTTCTATCCCTATCAGATTCTTGATTATTCTCCTCAACTATTTCTTCCTTTCTTTTGAAGTCCCTCTCTACATCTCCCTTCATTCATTCTGCTTCCAACCCTCTCCCTTCTTCTACTATCCTTTCAATTAGGCTTACTATTGCACCTTCTTCCTCCCTCCTCAATCCTTTGGGTTGGGTAGCTGGTGTACCTGTTTCAGGCAAAGCACACATATTAATAACCAACACTGAAGGGACACACATACCCGGATTCGGTGTGGGTTGAGCAAGTTCCAAGGAATCAGAATACCCCTGTTTGGAAGTCAAGGCATCAGACCTATCCCCTAAATTGGGCTGTTGTAAAGTAGGGGTGGGAATGATAACAACTCTGTTTGAACCAGAAACCTTTTCTACTACACCCTTCTCTGTTACCTGATGCAAACATTCCCGATATCCTCTTGTCTCACTTTCTGTGCTCCCTGTCCTTGCTGAGAGTTTGGAGGTAAATTCCTTGTGATAGGAGTAGAGGCAACCTGTTCAACTTCGACTAAGCACACTGCCGACCCAGCTTCCTGTCAGGCTCTCTTCTTTTTCTTCCAGAAACAGCTCTTCTATGTTGAAACCCTTTGCTTCATTCATACCAATCCTCATAGTTTGATCGATGCTACCCATGCTCAAGTATTCATAGGAATCTGAGTCGCAATCGCTGCTTCTACTGTCGAACTCTGAGTCTTCATCTTGATGTCACTCTTTCCCTTTGCTACTGCACCTGCTAAATCTTGGGTTACGGATTTCAGGAGAATTAATCTTCTTCCCTTTGCTAGGAGGTACCCTTTACATCAGAGTTTGCTGCCCCATCTGCTTGCATCGGCCTCCAAGGACCCCTGACTTAAATGAGGAGGAATATGATAGACAGACTTTGTTGTCTATCATCAGGCCTCCAGTTGTAGTCACATGCCCTTTAAGTTGGTTACATGCTGAGACTTCTTGAGGCCCAAGAGTTGGGCCCAGCTTCAAACTCAGTTATATTTCGCCTGTGGGCCTCAAAGGGACAGATCCAAGCCCATTTTTATTCTTCATATGGTCACTTATAGTGACATGTGACTTGTTTGACCCAAGAATTTCAGTCTGGTTCAAGGCTGGACCACTGATTTGTTGATCCATATTCTTTTTCAAATTTTGAAATTGGGCCTGCTCCACATGCCAAGTTCCACCAGTCACTGCCTCAGCGTAAGACCCAACATGCGCCAAATCCCCTCCTTTCCTTGGACTGCATTTCTTCCCCTGTGCCCTTGCATTTTCCTCTACCCAGTATTTGTTTTACTGTTTCTACGTAACTTCCAATTACTTTAGCTTCATCCTTTTGGCCTCTGCCATGTAGGAACTCTTCTTCAAACCTTTCATCTTCCTACCTTCTAGCAGCTCTCCAGGTTGTAGCTTCAATGGCAGTGGTCAACCAGACTGAGTAAACCAGTTGATCACCTGCAACTAGTATTTTCCTTGGGATTTCCTTAATCTTCTATAGTACAACTTTTCTCATTAGATATGGGCTCCATTTTGCCATTGTGAAGTTGCCAGATTCTCCGGCAACATTCAATGCAGTTACATCTACCACATCTTCTACTAATTCCAGCAGAGCTTTCTGCTTTTCAAAGGGAGCTATTATCAACCCCCCCCCCCCTTTAACTGCAAGTCCTTGATTATAGTTTCGGCTATTTTCTTCCAATTTAGTGCCAGTCGCTTCTCTCCCAATTTGCTATGGTTCTGAATATACCTCCTTTACCTGTCATAACCCGAATTTTAACATTATCTTCCTTTTCCTTCAATTCATTTTTTTCTGCCTTTTTGTCTTCCTCTGACATATTAGTTTCCCTAACCTTCAATGCTGTGTTCTATAACTCTCGAGCACAAAATTCTTTGCTTCTATCTTCAGCACTCTTCTCCAACATGCAGCATGAACAAATCTTCCCAGCTAGATCCTTCTTCAGCTATAACTCACTATCCTCCCTCCCTCCCTCCCATTGGATGGATCTGGAATCTTCTTAGCTAGATCCTTCTTCAGGCATCTGAATTCCATCTTCTCACCTCCCCCCCTCCCTCCCTCCACTATCTATAGATCCTTCTTCAGGCATCTGAATCCCATCTTCCCAGCTTCAATTCCACTCAAAGTGGCATTTAAGATGTATTTGGCTCCTTCTAATCTCTATCAGAACTTCTCTTTCTTTAAAATGAATGTAAAGCATTGAAAGCAAATAAAGCAATGATGACTCAATTTCTGTTTATAATACTTTTTACGAATATTATAATAAACAAAAAAAAAATATTATAACAAGTTTAAAGAGTTTTTCTCCTATAGATTATGTTAATATGTAAAGGGAACACAATGAAATGGTAACCCGACTTCTACTTATAATATTTTCCTATAACAATTAGCTTAAAAGTAAGAGTATATGAGGATTGTGTTTCCTTTATAAAGCACAACATAGGTGTACACCTTTCTAAGAACCTCTAGGCTAATGGCAGACACCTGAAGCTATTTTCACCATTCCTGTAGAACCTTTACACATTTGTGCGTTTCCAGGTGTATGCTTCCAACACTTTATAAAGCACAACATTTGTGCATTTCCAGGTGTATGCTTCCAGCTATTTTCACCATTCACATATCTGCCATATGTGAGAACTGAAAATCAATAGCAAACTTTTTGATCAAAGGCAGTACAAAATCAAAGTTACAGATTTTTTTTTTTTGGAAAAAGATAAGGTAAAATTTTATTTATATTAGCAGAAAGCAAATAGTACAACAGGCCAACCGGGATAGCTCCACACATGGGAGCAATAACCCCCAAGGCAGATACAACTGAAATATTCCTCAGATCCACTGAAATAAAAGGCTGCAACTTGGACTGTTGGGAAAACTCCTTGGTGGCAGAATCCCAAGATCCAATTTTGCCAATGGAGATACTAATGAATAATGAGGTCTTCCACTGCCCTGAATTTGTTTTTCATTTTTTTTTTGAAGATAAAGAAAAATTTTATTAAAACAAAAGAGGATACAAGGAAAGGTGATAAGCAATCACCAGAGGAGAAAGAAACAAGCAAGAAAACACCCAACAAGATGAAAACCAGCCAGACCACTCATGGCCAATCCCTCAAAACCAAACCCCTTCCAAATTACACATAAACAATACAAAAATAGGTTGAAAAACACCGATCTTCATAGCACAAAAATTGATTCCCTTACGCGCCCACAACCGACCCCCAACAAAAGACCCAAAAACAAAAACCCAACCCTTACTTGACTTCGACTCAATCAGTCTTCTTGTTCGAGTTTTTGAATATCTTTTCGTTCCTTTCCAATTACAGCTGCAGGGTCCACCTAAGATTGACTGCCCTGAAGAAGTGCATCCAGAGGTGGTAAACCACTTAACAATGTATGAAAAGATAATCGACACTTTCCAGGTCCTGTCTGCACAGATCACAGGCTTGATCCTGAATCTTCATTCTTCTTTGTAAGCTGTCCTCAGGGATTTGCCAAGTGCTGCAGACCAGATCAGGAAGCCAACTGTTGAAGGCACAAGAGATCTCCAGATCAGATTGCTAGGGAACATAAAGCTTTTGGTTGTTCTCATGTTTCTGGCAAATGACCTGACTGAGAAGGTACCACTGCTCTCCCATTTCCAAACCCATTCATCATCAGTGAACTCTCATTTTCTGGTCCTCCAACAGATGTAAGAACTCCAACACACTGCCCATTCCCAGTCATGAAAGCGTTTTTGACAAGTTGTGCATTTAAGATATCTATGCTCCACTTGATGGGGAGTTTAGAGAAAATAAGGCTATAAACTAGAGTCATGGGAGTCTCGAGTACTTGTCCTTTGTCCTCTCTATTTTATAATTTTTTTCTTTTAATTTACAAACAGCACATGCCACACACCAGCACACCTTTCCCAATCACAATGTTTCATCAAATATACTTGCCTATGTTGCACAACAAAGTCCAATATTTTTGTCTGCAAAAATAGATGGTTAAGAACATAAATACGGAGTTAAAAATGAAGATAAGTTACCTTTTCCCGTGTCCAGCCAAGTTGTTGAGTCCGCAAGTGTATCCTTATCAACTAGTAGAAAAAAAATGAACACAGGTTATTATGTGCACCTCGAAGAAAGTAACAGAACAAAGCCTTCCGTTTACTTTATTTTTAAATTAGTATAGCCATATGGATATCTTCTTCATTAAAGCATCTCAACCCAAGCATCATTCAGCAGCTTAAATAAGATGGGTTGATTAGTGGATACAAGGCAATAGTCACAAATTCAGAGTAAATATAAAATCAATATTGTGAGTGACATTTCAGTAGGTGCACCTTGGCTCATAGGCAAGGTTCACTTTGTAGGGTGCAACTCATTTGAACACAAGTGCAGCACACCTGGCTCATTGTCAATTTTTTTTCTGATCAGAAATAAGACTATATTTTTCATTAATATAAACAGAAAATATACATCTTTAGTACAAATCTGAGAGCATAGCCATGCTATCTCTCCCCATTATGATATTTACAAGTTTGCCCAAAATAATTGATTCCTATTCATCCCTTGCTTGGAAAACTGATCAGCCCAAGAGTTAGCTGACCTTGGAACCCATCATACTTTCACCTGCATGTTTCTTGTCAGTCACCTATATTTCTTCATCTCATTTCCAAATGTCCATAAAGCTTTTCCCCATTCTTTAGACAGTTGATTATCACCTTTTTTATCAGCAAAAGTAAATCTATTTTATTAAATTAAAAGTAGGAATGATTAATACAACTTGATTGTCTGTAGTGTCAATCCCTTTATAACCCAAGTTACATGGATGCCCAAAAGAATTGTTGCCTCATGACCCCTTGTTTTGCTCAGGAGTCAGTTAACCCATTTGCACTCCTAATACATTTGAATTCAACCTCTAAATCTCTTGCTAGCTTTTCCACTTCTCTTAGCATGTCCTGTAGGGCCCACGGGATATGCCTGTTAGATTTTGCCCATGAGATGACCACTTGTGAGTCTCCTTCCACCTCAATCATTCTAAAACCCAATTGTTTAGCTAGTCTGAGACCTTGCAAAAGAGCAAACAGTTCAGCCTTCAAAGAGTTTCTCAAACCAATTGGCCCTGAATAAAATGCCACAATCCTCCTCTCTGAGTTTCTGATGACCCCTCCTATTCCAGCCGTACCCAGGTTTTAGAGGGAACTCCCATCGAAGTTTAGTTTTACTTTATTACCCGTTGGGGCTTCCCACTCCATACAAACTGTCTTTTTACTCTCGATGAATGTGTTACTTCAGTTCAGGCCCTTGATAAGTCTGTTACTGAGAAAGTTTTGAAGATGTCTAAGGTCTTCGCCCAAAAAGCTACCTATTTTTGTAGTGTCTATCACTTCCTCCAAGGTCCTACTCTTCTGCAAGAAGATTCTACTATTCCTCTCTTCCCACACCACCCAGCAAATTGCTGCCTTAGTGGCCCTCCAAAGCACTTTCCCCCTTTTCTTAAGTTGCCTCAAGAAGTTAGGATTGAACAGACCCACCACATCTTGAGGGGGCCCCACCTGCACCCAAAGAAAGAATTGAAAAACTCCCAGAATTTAAGCACAAAGGAACAGGAGGTTAGTAGATGGGATAGGGTCTCACCACTATCCCTACACAAGAAGCACATGTGAAGAGAAAGGCACATAGAAGGCCTTCTTTTCTGTAACATATCACAAGTATTTACCTTTCCAAGAAAAAATTCCCAGCAGAAAGCTTGAATTTTAAGTGGGATAGGCTTACTCCAAATTTCTTTCACTGGGAAGTTCACCCCTTGATGGTTAGAGGAGGCAAGTAACTTAAAGAAGGAAGAACAAGTACAAAGGCCATCTGGAGATAACGTCCAAATTCTGGAATCCTCAAGGGAGGAGTCTAGCAAGATCTTCCTTAAGGTATCAAGTAAGTGTATCAAAGAAGAACACCCAAAATCCCTTAACCCTCTTCTGAACCCAAGGTTCCAATTTAATCCATTTGGAGAAGGTGTTCCTATTATTGATATGGGTTCTCCTTTAAGTTGAGAAATGCCAAAGAGATCAGGAAAGAGATCCTTAAGCGGAAATTCCCCCACCCACAAATCCTCCCAGAATCGAATTTTGTCACCCCTTCCCACATCAAACCTGACGGAGTTAATAAAGATTGGGTAAACATCATGAATTGCCTTCCATGGAGAAGCTAAGGAGGTGTGGGGAGCAATTTTTGCAACCCAGCCATTACCTTCCAACCCATTAATGCTTACCATTACCTTGTACCGCAGCCTTTCGCTCTCAAAAGGAAATCTCCATAACCATTTACCAAGTAGGGGCAATGTTTCCAAAGACAATATTCCCTAACCCTAGGCCCCCTTCTTCCTTGGGTTTGCTAACTTGTTCCCATTTTACAAGATGGTCCCTTTTTTCCTCTCTCAATTCCCACAAGAAGTCCCTTATGTACTTTTCTAATTGTCCTACTATCCTAGTTGGGATGCGAAAGATTGAAAGGAAATAAATTGGAAGATTTGCCAAAGTGGCTCTTATCAGAGTAATTCTTCCACCCAAAGAGATGAAATTCCATTTCCACAAGGCTAATTTCCTAGCAAACCTTTCCACCAGCTTCCAAAATCCATCACATCTAGGGTTCCCTCCCAAAGGCAAGCCTAGTACTTCAGCAAACCTCTACAGGCCCCTTGCATCCAAATTAATTCCTGCAATCCCACTTCTACCCCAATTAATCCTCAAACCTAACAATCCCACAAAATTATTAACCAGTGTCTTCAAATTTCTAACCATTTCTGGATCAGCTCCCTCACAAAACAAGATTGTGTCATCAACAAATTGGAGATGGGAGACTACCACTTAGTTTCTACCTACCCTCCAACGGTCCAACCCCTAATCAAACCCTGTAAATCTGCTTTCGCCGCCAGTCTGCTTAGTACCTCTACCACTAAGGTGAATAGGAAAGGGATAGGGGGTCTCCTTGCCTTATTCCTCGCTTGGATGGGAAGAAATCTTTAGCCACACCATTGATTAGGCTTCCAACAGCACTTTCTAGTTCACTAGATCTTAGGCTTTCTCTAGCCACACCAAGGAGAAGCCTGTGGAGGATAACCCTACCTATGAGAGGTAGATGCAAGAAAAGTATATAGTAAGCTGGTTAATGAATTCTATGCAACCTCATATCAATTAGCACTATTTGTGGATGGAGACTACAAAAGAGGTGTGGGATAGTGTTACAGAGACCTATTCCCAAAAGTTAAATGTTGCTAGGGCCTACAAGTTGAAGAATGATGTCAATAATTTAAGACAAAGGGAGAAACCTTTGGTTGTTTACTTCTCTATGCTGATATCTCTTCAGCAGGAGATTGACTTGATGGAGACTATTGTATGGGTTTGTACCAAAGATGCAAAGACTCGTAGGAAGCTAGTGGAGAGAAATTGGGTCTTCGAGTTCCTCACTGAACTCAATCCCAAGTATGATATTGTCATACATATTAACAAGAGATGAAGTGACCTTATCCCAAGCCTATGCCAGGGTTAGCAATGAGGAGAGTCGAAGACAGGTGCAGGTTACAGAAGTCTCAACAGATCACTTTGCCACTGTTGGGGTGAAGCCAAGGGTCGGTACTAAGAAGAAAGATGTAGTATGTAAGTATTGCAAGAAACCCAAGTACACGAACAATACATGTTGGAAGCTACATCCAGAGCTCATACCTCCTAGATTCAAGAACAGCAATAATGCTAAGAAGAGTAGGACTGGGGAGAGTGGAAATGCCAATGTAGCCACCTTTTATGAGGTTGAAAAAGGTTCTAGTAATGAGAAGTCAATGGGGGAACAGCTTGCAGCTACTAGAGCTGAGTATTAGAAGTATGGGCGAGTCATCAGCCACTTAGAGTCTACTACTGCAGCTAGTACCCCTTCAAGAAATGGTTCCTCTTCTGCATATGCCCATTCAGGTATTTGTGCTACTACAAATCATGCTTCTATCTCAGGTAATCATAGGATCCCTTGGATAATAGATTCTAGTGCATCTGACCATATGACTAGTGTGTATTTTCTACTTACTAGCTTTTATCTGGCCAAGACAAGATCTCCCTTACCTTGCCGATGGGCTCCCTTGCTCCTATCTCTGGCAAGGGAAACATCAAAGCTTCAGATACCCTCACCTTATACTCAGTTCTTCATGTTCCTAAACTAAATACTAACTTGATTGGCTACTTTCAATTAGTAATTTGACAAAATCCGTGAACTGCAATGTAACCTTTTTTTTCCTTCTTATTGTGTTTTTCAAGACATGAAATCTCAGAAGGTGATAGGGAGTGGCCATGAGGCAAATCGGATATACCTGTTGGACATAGATGTAAATCAGTCCTCTAATATCAAGTTTAAATTCAGTGATTAGCAGAATAAAACATATCTAAATAACTGTATAAGAGAAGAAGATGGCAAGGAGAAGAGGTAAGAGAAGGAGTCGAATTAATTCTCCATTCTCCTCTAACCCTATTTTATTAAGATCTAAAAAATTAATGATGACAAGTATGCCCTTAAGTGGGTGGCCAGCTTGGCAGTTACATAAAGGAAATAAACAAGAATAAATAACAGGCCCATTAAGTGTGGCCCATCAACATAAAATA